AGGTCCCACTTCAGCCATTAACTCTTATTTCCCAGTTCCAGTGGATCCTCTGGTCTAGGCAGGATCTTAGATCTGAAGTCTCCTAAATATGCTAGGCTCTTTCCTTCCTATGTTTCATTTAGGCTTCTAGAAATTTCTCTTCACTCACCTAACCCTAAAATCCAGCCTCTCTCTCCCACGGAAACTTTAGTCACTGACTACAACACTCCCCAGTTTTAATTTTAATGTACTGTGTCACAAACAATTTACAGAAAAAAAATAGAAAATAATGCAATCATCTTTTTAGTCTTCTCTTTAAAAACTAAATATCTGGGCCGGGCCGGTGTGTTAGTGGTTAAGTGCGTGTGCTCCGCTACTGGCGGCCCGGGTTTGGATCCGGGCGTGCACCAACGCACCGCTTCTCCGGCCACGCTGAGACCGCATCCCACATACGGCAACTAGAAGGATGTGCAACTATGACATACAACTATCTACTGGGGCTTTGGGGAAGAAAAAAAAGGAGGAGGATTGGCAATAGATGTTAGCTCAGAGCCGGTCTTCCTCAGCAAAAAGAGGAGGATTAGCACAGATGTTAGCTCAGAGCTGATCTCCCTCACAAAAAATAAAAATAAAAAATAAATATCTGGGAAGGCACCATCACAGTTCTTTCTAATCACTAAACACGGCACAATGTTAACCATCAGTAAATGCTCAAAAAAAGATTTTTAAAAAATCCAAACATTCATCTGATTTCCTATGCATGCCCAAAACTATCCATTTAGTTCTAAGGTCAATATAATTATTTCCACAAATGCAAACTATTAGTCATAAAAATGAACTCAACATGTGGTTAGGATCACTACAAATCCATTCCATTACTAAAAAACATACCCCAAAGCTTTTTACCAATAGATCACTAGCTTCATTTACATACTAAAAACTATTAAAAATAAAAGGTATTACGAGGCTTTTTAGGTCAATCACAGAATAGGTGTATATGATAAAGAAAACTGATTAAAAGGTAAATTTTGTAATAAATACTTTGGTCTAGCATATCCTTTTGCAAGTTTCTGCAGCACTCATTTACAGATACTTGCCACATTATTTAACAGGTGGTACAGTACTTTTTGGTATTTCAGACCTTATATTGCTTCATAATAATGGTAACAGATCATTACTAGCCATTATCAGTTCAATTGTGCAGTCTGTCTCCCCTACCCATGAGGTCAAGGGGTTTATTTTATTCACTGATGTATACACAGCACCTCGAATAGTACCCGGCACACAATGGGAGCTCTATGTACATCTGTAGAATAAATACCTATCACATAGTAATTGCGGCATTTTGATGGGTTTTGAAAGGCTGTCTCAATCAACAAAAATTTGAAGCAATTATTGTGTATCAGAGTATGATAAAAAGAATAATAGGAAAAACTTATCTGCTCTATGAAGAAGAAAAAGTGAGCACATATATTAAGGTCATAAAAGGGCACTGTGGCTTCTTCCTTGCTCTCTCTCTCAGATCACTTGCTCTGGGGGAAACTAACTGCTACGTCATGAGGAACACAAAAAGCTCTATGGAGAACTGATTTGGGGAGTAACTGAGGCCTCCTGCCAAGAGCTACATAAGTGAGCCATCTTGGAACTGGATTTCCAGCCTCAGTCAAGCTTTCAGATGACTGCGAGCTGGCCAACATTTTCACTGCAACCTCATGAGACTCGGAGCCAGAACCACCCAGCTAAACCTCTGCATTCTTGACTCTCAGAAACCACATGTAATAACAAATGTTTGTTGTTTTAAGTTGCTAAATTTGTGGGAAATCTGTTACACAACAATAAATAACACAAATAGGCAAGGTGTGAAATCTCTAATGTTTACATTAGAGTCAATGAACCTACACCCTGGAATTAAAAGTCTAACAATATGCAAGATGGATGAAGTGGAAAGCATTTTGTCTTCCTATGTCCTAAAATCCCAGTAAAGAGTCCTGCACACAGTAAATACCTGTGTTTGCAAACTAGCTTACACACAGAATTCCTTAATAGACCCAACAAAGTAATCTTAATGTTTCTTAAAAGTAAAATGACCCCTTAGAATCTCTCCATAAGTGCAACCCAGAAATCTGTAGTTTATTGTTGTTTGCTTAGTTTTCAGCACAGAGCCATACCTTCCTTAACTGAGGGTTACAATGTTATTCATGAAAACTGAGACCTTTTAGAGCTCTTTTCCCTACACTTAATGAAAATAAAAGGGCAGCTAAAAGAGGGAGTCTGGAGAGACTACGGACAGCTGCTTCAGAGCCGAAAGCGGTAGTCAGTGCAAGGGAGCTCCACCACCAAATATAACCAAAATATTACTTCACATAGAGGTATTTTATTGCCTCATCCATAGAGATCCTTAATAAATCTTGACGATAACCTCAACATGCAGCCTTTTAGTATTAATCTGATTTAAAAGTTTAGCCTCTATACTAGAAAAAGATCTTCCCAATCATACTACTGGGAAATTAGGCAATATAAGTCTGTTTTCCCAGTGTCAAAGCAATCTTAATTATATCTCAAAGTCTGCAACCCGTGAGGTTGGGAGTCCAAATTTTGACCCACAAAATGGTAACGGCCTGTGGCCTTTGCTGACCATTAACTTTCATACTATATGCCCTTGCCCTATCACCACATCCTTACACATGCACTTTTCACTTGTCATCTGGACTTACCCAGAAAGGCTCATAAAAATGGCTGAAAGTGGTCTTGGCATTTTCAAAATAAGTCATGGTTTATATTCCAGTTGGCGAGATATATATTAAAGAAACAACTGCAAAATAGAGGCTATTATCAATTCACCTATATACAGATAAGAAGCTAAGAATACTTTCGTGTATAATCTGATTCAACAGCTAGAACTAATTTGTAAACTAAAAAAATTTTAGAGGCATTTTAAATTCTAAAATTCTATTTAAAATTTATTTAGCCTCTAAAACTAACCTAAAAGATATATTTAAAAAATTTTCTTAATTAAAAAGTACTTAAGCTTAAGTTCAAAGTAACAGAAAAACTAGTTTTTAGTGGTCTTGCACAGCTAAATATTCCCCCCAAAGAAAATTCCATTATCTTTATAACCAAAGTAAAAGTAAATTAAATATCAACTTTAAGGTTTTCTAAATTTACCAAAATAAAAACACTAATACACTTATGCTGGTTTTGAATAAGTAACTTTCTCCTGGGGAAAATAATCAATGTTTTTTGTACCAAGCGTCATTTAATCATTTTATAAATTAGTCACCTTTCACCACACAACACTTCCATACATGTTTGTAAAGTGACACTTTGGATCACAAGCTTTAATATCTAAGTATTTACATTTGGTTCTTTTTTACAAAAGGACTTAGAGTTAAAAATATTTAAGAGAGTTCAACAAAATCTAAAGTATGTTAGATAAACTCAAAAGTGGAATCTAATTTCAAAATGGTAAAAAAACTGAATTCCAATAGAAAGAGTAAATTCTAATGATAATAAAATCATTGTAATAGAAATGCCTCAAGTTTCTTTAAAAGCACTTTAAAACCACCATATCCTTACATCAGTTACAAAAATAAAGACTTCCTACCATAAAATCAATCTATAAAATCCACATAGATTGGTATAATCTGCAGGACAGTTTATAAGAATTATGGATGTTTTCCAAATTTAAAATACAAAAAAGAATTCAAAGGCAACAAGAGGACATTTCAGAATAAAGATTATCAAGACCACAATCAGTTTCACTGGTAATGCAACGCTTTTTCTTACAAATCATAAATCTATGACCCTGAAATGGCAAAATGATTGCAATATTTTGTTGTCTCTAATGACAGTATTAAGAAAAGCAAGTATGTTTAACCTTAATTGGACTTGTTGCACCAATATCTTACTCCCTACTCTGAAATATGATGTAAAAGTCAGACATTCAAGGGAATATCTAACGAAGCCAAAACTCCACGTCCTGAATTATTACTTGACCAATAATTCACTGTCTGCTAAAGGGATGTAGTGGACAAATATTAACACAAAAACAGAACAAAACAAAACTCTGACACATACAACCCATTATTTAAGATGAATTATTCTAACTCTTGTGAAGTGGAAATAGCACGGGACTTGAGAACCTTTGTTCAGATCCAGCTCCACCACTTCTACTCTATACTTACTGTTTTAAGACACTCCACTGGCTTCATCTGCTAAATGGAAGTCAAAATAATACCTATCTTGCACCAGAGTTGTGAGAATGAAATACTGAGACATTTAAATTGTGCAGTGCTAGGCAAGTGTGTCTGCGTGTGTGTGTGTGTGTGTGCGTGTACTAAATAAATGAAGAACTGAAGAAGAAATCATACAAACTAACCTCAACTTGCAAATATCTGCTGGTAGCAGTGAAGGAGCATATAATGATAAATGATAAACAGCACATGCTTCACTGTGCAGTTCACACCAATTTTTAGTTTTCTTGAAGACATTCTCCTTCCTGCCTACGACTCTACAGCTCAGTATGATTTTTCTAAGGTTTGTAGAGTCTAGTTTATCCCATACAAGATGTTTGCTTAACTGGATATCAAAGTAAATATCAAACAGAACCTAACCCTCTATTTTCAAAATATTTAGGGCTTATACTCCTCATAACATTTAGTATAAACCAAAGTGCTCATTTTCATCAGTTAACAATCGGAACTCCTAGAACTTTAGAACACTTAAACTCAAGTCCAAGTCAATATCGATTGTTAAAAATTCTACTCATCAAAACATTAGGAGACAGTCAAAATAAATGCTAATGTACTTTAGAAGCAGTATAAAATGCATGATGTGGTTCTCTGTTTAAAAAAGTACATTAAAAACCAATTAGTTAAAATATGAAGCTTTCCAAAGAGATCAAAAATAATGATAGTAACAACTGAACTATTACAATAAATTTTTTTAATGTCCCGAAAAAATGAAGCGCAATTTTGTCAGTCTTCACGTTATATCTAACAAGCTTTAGAAAAAAGCTAATTCCTTCAGAGATCTCCCCAATACAAGACTTTAAATATCATCATCTAAAATCATGACTCTCACGTTGAAGCATTACTCTACAAAGATTTTAAACCGCATATTAATATGCTGTACCTTCTAGACTGTATTTTGTTACGATTCCAATTCTCTTTGATTCCTCAAAGTTACTTTAAAGGACGCCAATTTATTCTTCTTCTCTACAACGATTTATACATGTTTTAAACTTTCTCCCAGATTTGATCACAACACAAAAAGAAGTTATTACAATCACGTTGGAGACCACACTAGTGACTACACGAGGAATTTGGGAAGCACTGATTAAATATAACAAAAACAGTCTTTTCTTTTTTAAGTAAAGAAAAGTGAATCCTTGGGGTCTCCTTCCTGAACAAGGAAGTTCTGTTAAATCCAGGCGAGACCAGCCATGTTGGAAAACACTTGTCAATTACAGTTGTGACAAGTGTTCGCGAACACCGTGGGAGGAAGCTAACCCTGTGCACCGATGTGTGTGCATCGAGGCCCTCTGCACCCCGCCCGAGGACCTGAGCCTACTTTGGGGACTGTTTCCGAGTTAGAGCTGTCCTCAGGTCCGCAAGGAGTGCGGAGCCGAGGGAAAAGAGGGCGGGGTAAGGAGAGTTGGTGGGGGGAAACGGCTTGAGAGTTGGAAGCCGCTATCCGCTGCGAGAGGGGCGCGGCGGCCGGGAGAGATTTCCGAGTTGAGAGCCTGGGGGAGGGGCTGAGGATGAGGGGAGCAAGGGGATCTCGGCGAAAAGTCCCCCTGGCCCACGCTGAGGGGCCCAGGAGTGCCAGAGGAGGAAAGGAAAGGGACACGCTTCAGCGCACTGACCTGTCCTCCGAGTCCATGCGGCTCAGGGGTTCCCCATCCGACGATATCTCCAAGCTGCCTCGCCGGCCCCCCGAGGTCGCGCTGCTTCCGCCTCCCCCGGTCCCGTAGCCCTCGTCGCCACCGCTGGAGACGACGCTGCTGCTACTGCTGCCGCCCCCGCCGCCGCCCTGGCTGCCCCGAGGTCCCTTGGGCTCCTCCAGGCCCTCCTTGCCGTCCCCATCCCCGCTGCTGCTGCTGGCGGCGCCGGGGCTCAGCGAGCGCGTCTCGTCGCTGCTGCTCCCGCCGCTGCTGCCCACCAGGCTCTCGGCGCTGCTCTCCTCCTCGCCCCCGCCGCTGCTGCTGCTCTCGTCCTCCTCCTCCTCGTCCTCCTCCTCGTCCTCGTCCTCCCCGGCCTGGCTGGCGCTCTCGGGGCTCGGCTCCGACATCGTCTCCGCCTCACCGCCCCCCACTCCGCCGCCGCCGCCCCCACCGCCGCCGCCGTTCAACAGCAGCGCCGCCACCGCCTCGGCCTCCGCCTCCTCTTCCTCCTCCTCCTCTTCCTCCTCCTCCTCGGGGGGTTCCGCCCGGCCCCGCGCCGCCGGCCCGGGGCTGCCAGGGGGCAGAGGGCTCAGGCGGGAGAGCTCCTCCAGGTCGGCCATGTCGGTGAGAGCGGCGGCCATGGCGGCGCCTGCTCCTCCTCCTCCTCCTCCTCCCGGCCGCCGCCGCCTCCCTCTCTCGACTCTCGCTCCCTCGCCCCCTCCCAAACGCCCAAAACTCCGCCGACGCCGCTGCAGAGCAGGAGGAGGGCCCGCGAGCTGCGTCAGCCTGCACACGCGCTACGGAGCCCGCGCGGGGACAGGCGCGCGACTGCGCGCACTCACGCGGAGACGGCTGCGCGCCTGCGCGGCGGCACGAGGTGGCGCCTCCCTCGGGCCGCGGGCTCCGCGCCCTGGCCCCCGCCCGGGTCCTCGCCCGGCCCCCGCCCAGACCGGCGAGTGCTCAGAGTTTCCTCGGGGTCTTCCCACGCCTTCCCCAGCCTAGCAGCGGACGAGACACGCAGAACGAAAACCTGAGTGCTAGCCGGGGATTTTAACCCTCTGAGTTGTCACGATAAAGTCCTTCATTCAGGGGGTGTTTGGGGAGTGTCCCCTGTGTACAGGCGCTGAGCCAGGAATCGAAGAAGTCCCTGGGCTTCTGGGAGCTTACAATCTACGCAGAGAGGAGATTAAAATGAATAAAAATAAATAATACAATGCCAGGTCCTAAATCCATAGGAGCAACACAGAGCCACAGGTTTTCATCTAACCTGCGTTTGAATACTCCAAAAAATGGTTAAATCACAGTCTCAGAGCAAACATCTCTTACGTTCAAGGTCTTCAAGCTTTTTAGGTCAGGAGCCCTCTAAAACAATATTGTACGTCCTTATCCAGTTTAAAGTGACATCTGCATTTTCTTCCAGCTTGTTATAAATAGTTTATAAGTGGTACATATTTTTAAATGTAACTGATGAACTCTAAATACCATTGGGATTTACTACCCACCAATATCCACTTTTTAAAATATAATCTTTTGTACACTTGGGCAATTTCCATCCTTCCCTCATCTTCTGGAACTCATATTTACATTCCACATCCCCTCCAGAATTTATCCCAATAATATATTCTATATTTGAACTGCTTCCTTGATGATCTTATATTTCCTTGTAATAAAAATGTGTTTATAAATTAAAATTTAAGTTTTTAAATTTCCTGTGATCATAAAACTCTGTCTTATTATTTCAACTGATCAGAACAAATATATTTCCAATATTTATAAATGAATATTAATCACAAAAGTAAAATTTTTTTGGAAGTGCATCTTTCAGAGAAAGAATTGGATGAATTTTTTTTCAACTAGTTTATTTTATCAGTGGATGTATATTACTAGAATGAGGAGTTCAGCATCCATCCATTCTATTCCAAGTTTTCAATTTCATGGATATAAACATTGAGAAAACTTGTTCTCATAATAAGCAGATGAGAATGAATGGAGTTTTGTTATAGTAATGCCACTCAATTCTTTGAACTCCTTCCAAATTATATGCCAAAAAATCTCATAAAGATCTAACAAAGAAAAAAGTACTGACAGTCTATCAGCTGACAACTCTGATTAGGTTCTCTTTCAACTTTGTTGAAAGCAAGTTACTGACAACCACCTGACATGCAAAAGGATGTGTTACCCATTCTCATTCACCAGTCAATTGTTCCTTTTTTGGTGTAGTGGAGGTTTTTTGAATCCCCAGGGTATTGCACCTGAGTAAGATTTGGGATGGGGAAGAATTATGCCTTTCTTTTGTAAAGTAGGGGAGGGGCGATTGGGACAAGGGAGGCTGGAAAGGAGCCCACGTTACACTCTGACCCCAGGGCACATTTTCAGGCAGGTCAGTTTTGGGGATGCCTACTAAGGGAAGTGAGGATCAAAGAACTGATTGCCTTGAAACAGAGTCTCTGCTCATACACATGAGCCGGGGAAAATCCTCATATACCATGAGTACCCCAGTATTATTTCCGCTGTCTTAGGCCTTGGGACAGCTGTTATATGTTCCTTATGTTGCCTCAAGGGAAAGCAAAAATAAAAATAATATGTAATAGTGTGGGGCATTATGGTTTATAGATACCTTCACGCACACATACAATGCAAAATACTAACCTCAAACATTTTAACCTCAAAGCCACCCTTTGAGATAGACAAGGAGTGCATTAGCATCCTGTATAATAAATTAAGACCTATTAGAGTTTAACTGAAAAATGCATATTAAGTGTATGTGCCAGGCACTGTATTAATCCCTGAAGATTAGGATTAATGTTTGGCTGAGTTTATCAAGGAAAACTTCATGAAGAATGTGGGATTTGAAAAGATGTGTATAGTACAATGTATAACTACATCTAAATTTAATTAATTTCAGCCAGATCTTGAAGAGTGTCTAAAATAGAATTCTGCGTAAGGGGGCATTCTAGGACTGAGAACCAATAACGTTGAAAAGCATAAAATTTATTCATGACAGTGTTAATTAACCATGAGAAAGCTCAAAAAGAGCTAAAGGTTAGATTGCAGAAAATCTTGAATAAAAAGTTTGACTTGGAGGGCCGGCCCTGTGGCTTAGCGGTTAAGTGCGCGCGCTCCACTGCTGGCGGCCCGGGTTTGGATCCCGGGTGCGCACTGACACACTGCTTCTCTGGCCATGCTGAGGCCGCGTCCCACATACAGCAACTAGAAGGATGTGCAACTATGACATACAACTATCTACTGGGGCTTTGGGGGGAAAAAATAAATAAATAAATAAAATTATTTTAAAAAGTTTGACTTGGAAAGACAACGGGTATATACTGAGATATTTTTTAAAAGGTATGATATGATGGGGCCAGCCCTGTGGCGCAAGTGGTTAGGTGCGTGTACTCCGCTGCGGCGGCCCAGGGTTCGCTGGCCCGGATCCCCTGCGCGCACCGACACACCGATTGGCAAGCCATGCTGTGGTGGCGTCCCATATAAAATGGAGGAAGATGGGCACGGATGTTAGCTCAGGGCCAGTCTTCTTCAGCAAAAACAGAAGGATTGGCAGATGTTAGCTCAGGGCCAATCTTCCTCACAAAAAAAAAAGAGAGAGAAGGAAAAAAAAAAGGTATGATATGATTAAAGTTATGTTGTAAGGGTATCTAATGTATAGAAGATAGAGTGAAAAATGAATGGAGATTAGACACATGGAAATGGCAAGTATCAAAGCCCAAAATGAATGCTCTAGCTGCAGTATTTAGACTTGAAGACTAAAATGAGCTATCTCGGAATTGACTTTTTGGAGAAAATAGAGTACTTCCCATCACTGGAGAGTTGTGTTTTTTTTTAGCTGCAAATTTTCTGAAAATTTGAAAGAATTGAATAATAAACACCTGTACACCTGCCTAGATTCGTCAGTTAATAACATTTTGCCACATTTGTGGATGCTGTGTTCTTCTCTCTCTGTTTCTTTTCCTCCCCCTCTCTCCTCCTCCCTCTCCCTCTCCCATTAACCCTACCTCTACCCCCTCTCCCTTTGTCTCTCTCCCTCTTGGCTTGGTTGTGGACATCGTTACTCTGCACGCATCTCCTGGGAGCAAGGCCTCTCACCCACACAACCACAGTATCACAGTGTCATTATCCCACTCACTGAAGTGTGTGACTAGAGACAGGACTTCCGGGTGACGGAGTTCCTTCAGGAGACATCAGGTGAGAAGTTGGATGAAACTGCAAGAAGCAGAGTCTGCAGACCAGTGCCCATGCACAAACTGTTTCTTCCTGGTCTGCAACTAGACAAGTACTGAAATTAGCTTCTGGAAACTTTTATAACAACTTGACAGAGTAATTTTATGCCTGCTGAATCTGATAAAAAATGGGGGCTTATATTTTTGAGGCCATCCGTTTATTTTATTATTCTGGTAATTCACTTTTGCTGTATTTTGCAAGAGTATCAGTCCACTGGAAATTTTTTAAAAATGTATATTGGTCCTTCCTAGATCGAGAGTCACCGTTCTGTAGTTCCCTCCCTCCTGGTGGGAGAGCGTGTGATTCTATGCGTAATTATAAGTTACCCAATAACACACCATTGCATAAGAGTGTTTGATTAGGAATAGTATTCAAATTCATTGACCACGGTACTAACGGGGGGTCACATTAGCAATGATAACTTGAATTTCACTGGCTCTTCTACCTGCCAGGCCTACTAACAGGAAACCTCCAGCTTTCTGGGAGCCCCTGGGATAAGGGTCTCTCCTGTGCTCACACATTCCTCTCTCACTGCCCTCCTCCCCTGCTCTACTCTTCCAGGCCCTGCAGGCTCCTACCTGCAAAACAGCCAAAGCCATGGTGTAGCCTGGAGAAATGGAGCTCACTCTGTTGACCTCTTTTAGGGAAACCCCGAAGCAGACTGCTTGTGCCCAATATCATATATGGTCATGAAACACCTCTTTATGTTTTTACTCAGAGCTCTGTTTCTCTTAGGGACCCAGACATGCTTTCATGGGCCTAGATTGGCGACAGCTCTGAGTAACAGCTACCCCAAGCTGTATTTATTACTCCCCATCCAATGACTAAGTCTTTCTTATAGGGCTTCTCTGTCTAATTCTCTCTTTCATTAAAATGAGCCTGTTCTAGGAAGCAGTCTCAGCCCCTGTGTCAGCAGGTTTCTTTCAGTCCTGCCTCACCAGTTTGCTCAACGTGCCCAGACATGCTTGAACCCCAGCGACAGACTCAGCTTAAATTCAAGCTGAGATTGCTGCTACACCACCCGTGAGATACTTCTGAAAATGTCCCTAAAATATGCAACTCTCTCACTTTTTGCACCTTTATTTCAGGTTCCTCATTCTGCGTGTTGATAGTGCCCTAGTGAGCAAGATCAATGGCAGTGTATGACCTCATTCTCTGATTGACTTGGAGTCTAAAAAAAGTAGGCTGGAAAGAACTAGAAATCTGATGAAAGCTTCCCCAATCTGTAGATTGTAATCCAATGAAAACCCAACAAAATAATGATGATAGTTTTTGTGTTAAATTTTCTGGCGGTATAGCCATTTTGAGACATAACTGCTTTGGCTGGCAACTTTCCACAATAAGGAGATCATACGCATGTCTGGTATTTTGAATAGTTTCTCATTTTCCTATGTCTATGAAAGGGTAGGTAAAATGTGAAAGGTGAATAACAAAAACACCACATTTTTTTGTCTTTTCATATATTTTATATCTAACTTGCTAACCAAATAACTTTATTGAACATTGAAAACTCTCTCAATTATTACAATTGAATTCTTTCTTTTTTTTTTTTTGGAGGAAGATTGGTCCTGCACTAACATCTGTTGCCAATCCTCCTCTTTTCTTTTTTTTTTTCCGCCCCAAAGCCCCAGCACATAGTTGTGTATGATAGTTGTAGAGTTGCAGCTCATCCACGTGGGATGCCACCTCAGCATGGCCCCATGAGTGGTGCGTAGGTCTACGCCCAGGATCTGAACCTGCGAGCCCTCGGCTGCCGAAGCAGAACGCAGAACTCGCGAACTTAACTGCCTTGCCACCGGGCCGGCCCTAAAATTGAATTTGATGGATTAGTTACTGTAGCATACAAGTTACAATACCAGTTAGTACTTTATCCATCAAATCTCTAAGAAGGCAGGAAAGAATCTAAACATAATATTTAATGGGTGAAATATAGAAGTAGTGCATTAGCAGTTTGGATAAATTACCTTGGCTTCAAGCCAAAAAAACCCGACCCACTCCCTTCCTTTATTGAAGTATATATGGCATCTATTTGACTACTAACCTTATTCATACCCTCCTTTTTCCTCCTCTTCTCTTTGTCCCTTATTTCATTACTTGCTTTTATATCTACCTTGTAGTCCTCTATACATCTTGGTAAATTACCTCAAATTATTTTTTCAAGTGAGTTTTGTTGGGTCGTTTAGTTTTTGTTTTTGCAGAACCTGCTAAGCCTCCTCCCCCCTCACTCCCACCTTATGTATCTGCTGAGCACATGACCTCCCAGCAACTCTTAGAGCTAGCTTTGGCCATGTGGCTAAGTTCTGACCAATGAACTGTGAGCAGAAGGGATCACATCCTCCTTAGGAAGCTGCTTGCCCTCCCTTCTCTCACTCTTCCTTTGCCCTGTCTGTGGGCTGAGACACAGACATGATGGTGGGAGTGAGCCAGCCTCAACCATGCATAGCAGGACTGCACCCTAGGATGACAGAGCCACAGAAAGAAGAAGCCTGGGTCCCCGGATTACCTCATTTTGCCATGCCACTCACCCCTACAGACTAACAACTCAGACTTTTTGTGCGTGAGAAAGAAATCTTTTATCTAGTTTCTCTCTTCTAAACCAGCCAAGTCAATATCCTAATTAATGCAGGTAAAATAAACAAACAAACAAACACGGTTTCCTATTTGCCAGAAATCTGAGGCCCTCAGGTCCTTCAATTTCCTGCCCCTCCATCTATAAACTATATCCGCACTCATTTTTTTTCCCTAGGCAAGCTAAGCTTTCTACTATGGCAGACTCTTAGGTGTCCTATAAAAGGGAGGGAAAGACCATATATGTACTATTTTTTTCCTTCTCTTCTTGGGCACACGGCTGCCCAGCTGGAGACCACATTTCCCAACCTCTTTTATGCTCCCTTACACTCAGTTAATAAACCTAAATATATCTAGTCAATCCAAGTGTTAGATTCTTTTCGGTAGAGAATAGTAGCTACCGAAGAAATGTAAATATAACCAGTCCTGCAAGCTTGGTGAAATTCTAGCTTTCTTTGTCCTTTTAGGTGCTCTGGTGATATGCTGAATGAAAGATGAACTCAAGACACACAAAAACATTAAAAAAAATTTTTTTTTAATTTTTATTTATTTACTTTTCCCCCAAAGCCCCAGTAGACAGTTGTATGCCACAGCTGCACATCCTTCTAGTTGCTGTATGTGGGACGCGGCCTCAGCATGGCCAGAGAAGCGGTGCGTTGGTGCGCGCCCGGGATCCGAACCCGGGCCGCCGGCAGCGGAGCGCGCACACTTAACGGCTAAGCCACAGGGCCGGCCCACACAAAAACATTTTAGAGACAGGATTCTGTGCCCTCTAGTCACCATGATGGAATCAGAAATCCCAATGGCTCAACATAGGACAGCTTAGGAATCAGCAGGCATCCTTAATGTATCAGATAACAAAACTTGCTATTCATGCAAACATAAGAAAAGTCTCCTAACTATTGTAGACAATCCTCATACCTTGAGTAACTTTAATTTCCCAGTTTCTAACATTCATCATACTATTTGACAAATCACTAGCTTGCTCAATACAAAACCCATTTTTACATTCAGTATGGCAATCAGCAAGGCTTTACGGAGATCTTGACAGTAGAAGATTATTCTAGCAGAAACCCCTGGAGTATGTCCCTTTCTGATCTATAGCTAGCTGAAGACTGCTGAACTGGGCTTTTTTTTTCTTTAGCATGTTCATTGACCCTGTATAGAATCAAAGCTTACATTGTTGGCACATACATCATATCCTATTAACTATACTGAAATACAGTATTTTAAACTGAATCACAGAAATTTTAACACTTAGTGATAGTTCCTGACTAAATTCTCACCAAGAGAATGTGAGCAGAGGTAATGTGTACAACTTCTACCTAATTTGTTCTTGACTTTCTCTGCCACGCGCTGGAACAGGCTGTGCCATTGACCCAACTTCAACATGTAGTGCTGGTGGCGCAACAATATGGAAAAAATATGTGCCCCTGAGAGACTTTGTGGTACAGAGCTGCATGCCAGTCTAAACTGGCCAGGCTGTTACACCGCAGAGAAATAAACTTCTGTCTTGTTTAAGCTACTAAGTTTTAGAGTCGTTTCTTTTTTAATGACAACTTAACCTTTACTCAAATTAACAAAACTTTACTTTACATCTTGACCCATCAGCTTCTATTTCTTTTTCTGTGTCTTCAATCCCACTGTCTATATTAGCTCCTTCTTTTTTTTTTTTTTTTTTTTTTGCTGAGGAAGATTAGCCCTGAGCTAACATCTGTGCCTCTTCCCCTACTTTATATGTGGGTCACCACCACAGTGTGGCTGATGATTGGTATGGGTCTGCACCCAGGATCTGCCACAAATGCAGGCCGCTAAAGTGGAACATGCCAAACTTAGCCACTGCACCACAGGGCCAGCCCCTATACTGGCTCCTTCTTTTCGATTCATGAGCATGATCAAGTCTTTCCATCCTTATATGGTAAGTATTGATTTCATTTGCTTCCACACTTCTAAAAATGTGAACTGTACTTGCTTTTTCCACTTTCTCACCTCCCATACACTGTCTCTCTACTGCAAAATCATATCCAGCCCACTACAGTTTTTAAAACTACTCTCAGGAGGGGGCCAGCCTAGTGGGTGGTGGTTACTTCGTTCACTCTGCTTCAGCGGCCCGGGGTTCACAGGTTTGGATCCCGGGCGCGGACCTACACACTGCTCATCAAGCCATGCTGTGGTGGTGTCCCATATACAAAATAGAGGAAGATGGGCACAGGTGTTAGCTCAGGGCCAATCTTCCTCACCAAAAAAAAAAAAAAAAAAACTACTCAGTAAAATTATTCATTGCAAAATCTAGAGGATACTCTCAGTTCTGATCTTAAAAACTTGCTATCACATTGCAATGAAAATAAGTCTCAGACTAAATTCTGCATTGCGTTCTTTGTCACATTTTCTCCTCTCCTCTGAACTCCTTGCCTTTCCTCTCCTGTTTCTGTGATGCCACAGTCATCTAGATTGCCGATATCTTTCACGATTTCTTCTTGACCTCTCTGTTTTTTAAATGTTGGTTCCAAAGTCCACATCCTTAGCCAGTTGTCTTCTTGTTCTACAAGGTCTTCCTGGTAAATAACATCCATTCTGCTGATTCTGATCTCTGACGAGAGCCTCTCAGATTCATCCTCCACACTGCCAGAGAGCCCTGATGCCTCCTTGAGGCAGAGGACTCTTAATTTACACTGGCACCGATATACAAAATTTTGTGTATTTCTGTCTCCGTTTTCCCCATGTATTGCAAATTGACTTCAGTCTATTTGGCCCTTCAGCAACTATCAGGTTCTTTTAGTAAATATCAACAGCATCCATTGATTGGACTAGGTGAAAGCTAAGCATGCCCTCCCCCCCCAACATTAATATCAGGTGGTCTATTACAAGGAAAGCAAGACTTGGACAAAATTCTTCCAAGTGTATAAACTTTTATTAGCAAGTGGGTAGAAAAAGTCATACAACCTGCTCCTGAAAGGGTAAGGAAATCCTCACTCCTGTCCTCAGGCATGCCTACAAACATCTTGCGTGAGAGGTTCACTCTGAAGTGGCTGCAGCAATATTCAAACAGAATCAGCTAAACTTCTATTCAGGTCTGTCAGTAGATGCTGCCAAGAATTGATTAGAAGGCATTGTGCAGAGGTGGGCAGCACAGAATCAAAGAGAACATAGACCAAGAAGGTAGTAGGTTGCTGGGCTTTCCAGCAACTTAGTTACCATATATTGAGTGTTTAGTATGTGTCAGACACTTTTCATAGCACTGGGTATATAGTGATGGGTAAAACCAATAAAAATCCCTGCTTTCATGGAATTTACACTCTGGTCAGGTGTTCTTGTACCTCATTTACACAAGAGCAATAGGGCTGTGAAATCTTTCCACCTAGCTATGTATCTGGAACACCATTCATTTCACCAATGAACATGTATTTCTAACATCCTTTATGCTAATTAATGAACTTTCTGGTATAAATTTCAATAAAGATCCTTGAAATGCTTAAGTAGCCACCTGGGGAGTATGGATTCCTGATTAGGGCACTTCAGGTTATAACTAACCACCTCTAGAGCATGAATTCCTAATAAGTTAACTCTAATAATAACTAACATCCCCTAGAGTGTAGATTAAAGTTAATTTACACACAAATACATTACACTATTTATAAGAAAGTATTTTAAAGTAAATTATAAGAAATGTAATAAAACAACATGGCTGGAGGCATGGTCGCCCAGAGCTCCCAAGTTTCACAGATGAATTTTAAAATTCTGAAAGTCAGGGGCCGACCCGACAGCACAGTGGTTATGTTCGTACATTCTGCTTCAGTGGGCCAGGGTTCGCTGGTTTGGATCCTGGGTGCAGACCTACTCACTGCTCATCAAGCCATGCTGAGTCAGCATCCCATATAGAAGAGCTACAACTCTACAACTATGATACATAACTATGTATTGGGGCTTTGGGGGGAAAAAAGAAAAAGAAAAAAGAGGAAGATTGGCAACAGATGTTAGCACAGGGCCAATCTTCCTCAAAAAAATAAATAAACAAAAATAAAATACTGAAAGTTACCACCTCCCTTTGGACCCCTATGTCCTCCCCATGATCCAGCAACTACAGGGACAACAAAAGGCATATCAGGGCCTCCAGGCCCATCCTACTATAACATGGTTTGCAACCATTCTGCATGGCCAGTGCCCATACCATACCAATCATTGAATATTTTTAATATCACTCTTGCTCAAATCTTTAGCCATGAAGAAACTGACAAGACTTTCTGAATCTCAATCCTAAATACCTTGGGGAAGTGTTACCAAACACCAACATCGGTTTGTTTAACCACTGCACATGAGGGCCAGTGACTGGAATGCCAGGCTGATGGCAAGGAAAGAGGTTTATTATTGAAAGGCGGCCAGACAAGGAGATGGGAGTTAAAACTCAGATCCACCTCCTCGAAGGGAAAAAGGTACGGGTTTTTATCTGGGGTTTTAATTAGGGGAGGGGAGCACGTGCTGGGGTTTTAGGTAGGGGAAGGGGGAGCGTGTGGCCTTGCTGGTTGGCACCTTCCCACCAGTGTGCGTTTGGCCTTGAAGACGGAATTTCTTTTCCCTTGACTGGACCTTTCAGGTTAGTTTTCATCTTCAGCCTGTGTTTGGCCTTGTGAGATGGAATCTTGATGTCTGGACCCTGACTTTCTGGGAAAGACAGCTCACTCATAACTAAGGAGGGACAGAAAGACCTGGTTAGTTTTAAACAACAGTTGATCATGCTGAGTATGCACAGCTGCAGTTAGCAAAGCTTATCTCAGAGCTTTTTTTCTTCTTCTTCTAGCCCAGGGAGGATTTTTTAACTCCTTCGTTCTTGATTTCAGAAGGAATTTTAACTGTCCTGGGTTGGGCCTAGGATTCATGCCAAAATTGATTGGGATTGGCTGGGCTGCAGGACCTTTACAGTCTCGTTGGGTGGGATGATGGAAATGCCTGCAGACCTTCTGTAGGAGTCTGTGACAGGCATACCGGATTGCTCCAGCATCACGGTTTTGCCAGGAGGGTAAATCAAAAGGGCAAAAACCCAAAAGAGTTGAAGATGTAAGCAGGAGGATGGACAATGGAATTAAGTCGAGTAGAAAGGGAAGGAAAAATAGGACTTTATTAAATCATTTGTAGTAGACAAATTTATTTATATCAACATATATTTGAAATGCTATAGGTTCTGGTCCACTTACATAAATATATTTATGTAGTCCACAGATGATCTAATGATAGTGTTAATAACTGCTACTTTAAAGCAATGATATTTTCCATATCTTATTGTTAATATAATAAGAAATATATATTTTGATCTTTATCTCTGA